TTGAAAACCATATATTAAGCCTTATATTGTATATGTAGTCCCTGTAGCGCAGTGGATAGCGCGTTGGACTTCTAATCCAAAGGTCCGGGGTTCGAATCCCCGCTGGGATGCTCTTTTGCCACACTTTCTTTTAATTTTGCTTTTTTCTTTATTTAATTCATCTATTTTTACAATCATTTATTTTGCATAAATAAGTTATTTTTAATCTACAAAAAATTGCTGTTTGTTTTTGATTTTTAATTTTATGTTTTATCTAATTTATGACTTATAAGAATCTAACACCGATTCTGTGCTAACTTTGCGTGCATTTACTGTTTTATAAACTACAATATATTGACCATATTAATTTATTTATTAACTATAATTATTTAACATAGAATTTGTATTTTATTTAATTAAATTATGTAATCAATTATTATGAGACCAATAATTTATACGGAAATCATTTAGAAATACAATACCTATTGCTATGTTCATAGATAGCATGTTATGGAGTGATGCGGCAAACAATTGATAAATCAATTGCCAAACTAATTAGTCCGACATTTAAACATACTGTATATTTAAATATATAATTTAATTAATTATATTTCAGATCAATTGTTTGTCGTAAATTTACGTCAAATAATTTGTATAATTAAAGCAATAATCAAATGCAGTAATTATTGATTCAGTTTTTAATTAATACAAATAATTTCAAAACATATTATATAATGAATACAATCAGTTTGCGTGACTATAATTCTTACACTATATTTGTTCAGTAATTAAACAGATTTAAAATGAATACAAATTACAATTAATTATGAAAATGTTTTATAAATTTTCATAAAAATGAATTCAATTGTACTTTCGGTACAATTGCTGTACAAAATTTGGTGCAAATCTCATATTATTTATTATTTAATTTTAAGAAATGAGAGGATATCCGGGAAATTACTTCTTGATTGGCGTAAATCTTATTATAATCTCATTATTAATGGACATCAATGTGGAAGAAGTGAACGCCTTCTTCATGGGTATAGGTTTCATGAGAATGCGAAGACCGGGTCAGTCACTCCTCTCATACCATCTCTACATTTATATTAATACTATTAAATTATAATAATTATTTAATTTCACACCAATAGTACGGGTAGTAGTGATACGTCGGGGCAATGGAGGGACAGTTAACTATCCTCCCGGTTATAAAGAGGCCATCCTTACGATCGCCGCATTTTGCAGTAAATAATGATTTGTCATATAACTGTTATTTATTATAAATTTACAAATTAATGTATGACTGAATGTGTAGTAAAGCAGGACAAGTGTGTTTCGGACGCAACTCAGGGCAATCTCTACAAGTGTTTTAACGGTACGGATGGAAAACAGGCGGCGTTTGTCAATAAGTTTGAGGGCTGTGTTACGGCCAAAACCGAGGGCTGCAATAAGCAGTCCATCAATGCGTTGACCACTTGTGTCGGCAAAATGGGTCAAAATAAGGCCAATGGCGTGAAAGTGCCCAAAGCTAACAGTGAGTGCATGCGATCCGTTCTGACCGTCAAAAACCTGGAGTGTCTTCGATCGAGATATAAATCACTCGACAAACTCTTCCCATTGAATGCCAAACCAAATAACGGATAAATGTTTTGCGAATAAAACTATTGATTAGTAATTGACCATGATTACATGCTTTTTTATAGAACAAACTTTGTTAACTTAGTTAACAAACTTTGTTATTTAAGTTATTTGTTTAATAAAATAATTTATATTTCTCATGCGTTTTACATATTTGACATATAAAGTAGTTTTTGTGCTGTAGTTTTAATTGTTATAAAAGTATATATTTTTAGTTATAAAAGTTAATCCCAAGAAGTGGTCGGAAAATATTCTGTATTTACAAATGTTTTGAGAAAATTGAATGTAAAGATGGAGATTCTGTACATAATATATTATATTGTAGTATTTGTTGGCAATATTTTATATTTATAAATTTTAATTGAATTTTGTTTTTTAAGATTTAATTTTAAGCGCATATTATCTGCCGTTTAAAAGATAACTCACTAACGGTCTCGTATATTACGCTCGTGTATAACATGTAAGCCACCGTATTAGCATGGTCATTATTTTAATTTAAAGTAATATTCAAATATATAACATAATATTGTCAAACAAACAACACATTTGTTTTCAAGACATAATGTCTATAAACATGTCAATCACTGAATATATATTTAAATATTTTTTAGGCGTTAAAACTTATAAGATTTTTGTCATAGCATAACATAAATTCTACATTCTGTATATTCTTATGCCATTATTGCTATATTATACAGTATAATATTTAGTATTTATGTGCGAAATCACTACTGTTTTGCCCCATAATAGAGTGGGATTACACATACAGTGATTGTAACTGTGATTATAATAAACTTTAAAATATAATCACATGAAAGCATTAAACAGATAATGTATTTAATTAGTCAAACACAGCTTCACTACAGCTATAGCTGTGTATAGCTATGAAAAGCGCTTTAAATGCAATCAAAACTCAATGCAAATGTTTTTCACAGCATTTGAAGCGAGAGTTTGTATTTCGACACAAAACTAGTGCTCAAAACGTATGCATTGTTTTCACTGTTAGTCTCAAACAAAACACTCAAAAGCAAAGTGAATGTCGAAATAAACACACATTTAGTGTCGAAATCATGAATACATTCAAAGTGTTGGTCGATATAAACGACGAGAAGTTCTGTGTATTCATCCAAAGCGACCATAAGATCATTCAATTCAAGACAGTCTTCACTGCTATCACCGCTCAGACCAAACACACGCTCAACGCCGACGACCACTCCTTTGAGGTCCGCAACCCATCGCTCGACCCATCCATACATTCATACGCTTAACCATTGTTTGCATTTTGCAGATCTTCGACACCGACTTCGAGGAATGGGTTGTCGTCAACAATTGCGATCAGATTATTGACAATTTGGCCAAAATCCGGGTCCGACTCAAAGACAACAAACGCGATGCCAATCGTGCCTTCAATGAGACAAATAGCGTATCGCAAGACTCGCAGACACTTCCCAAGAATGTCAATACTTTGGCCACAGTTATGGCCGACGCGGGCGGAGATCGGGTTTCGCTGACCAACACTAACAGCGAAGTAAACAATAACGCAGTCATTGAACAAAAGGCTCAACAATTGAATCCACTTCACAATCAATTGTCTCAACAGAAGCCGTGTCTGGAGAAGAATTTGGTGGCGTTGGACATCAATTTTGATAATCTGAACATCAAATCAACGGAAAGCGCTTCCAATGAGACGACTGACAAGAAGTCAAACATCGATCACATATTTTCTAAAATGAAGAAAACTATCAATACTTTAAAAGATGAGCGAATGGTCGCCCAAAAAGCGGTCACCGAAACTGATTTACTCAATGGCAATGTCTTAGACAATGAGACAATGGCTGAACCACAGGCTATTGCCTCAAACAATGGCAACTCTGCCAACAAATGGCCCCCAAATGCAGTCAATTATTTGGATCTCACAAAGAGTCACAATTACTGCTATTCATCCGATTGTCTTCATGTGAGTCATAAGACAATTGTCACTCAATTCAGAAGACGTCCAGTGATTGCCATTCGCTACCATCACAACGACTTTAAGGCCATAGACTTACTGTTGGAGTTATTGGAGATAAACAGACGCTGTTTTGAAAGAAACTCTTCCAACGACTCGGAAAACAATCCCAAATGGAGGACAATATCGCAGCAAATGATAAACAATGGATTTGAGAACTGGTCTCCAGAGCAGTGCCGAAACGGCTTCCATAATGTCATCGAATTATACAAAAAGGTATCAATTCTTTACATTCTTTGATCCTTTGATTAGAATTTCAATTGTTTTAAACTTTTAGACACTAAACAAATGTCCCGATTCTGAGACCGCAACTAAAGTGAATCCAATGTTTTCGGCACTCCATTGGTTTGATATGAAATATTTGGTGAATTTGTGTGAATTCAATCAAATCCGAGATCTGAGACAAGCGTTTAAAACGAAACCTCATCACAAGTCCAAAGAGTACGGTCTGATCGGCGCCAAAAAGTTTGGCTCAAATATGTCTCTTCTGTCCAATAGTAATGACAACAAGACTTGCAGTAAATACGGCTCAAACGGATCGCTGGCCTCAAACCAAACGATTCCCAAAACCAAAACTAAATACCAGACCAACAAAGATATCGTCGAAACCGTAAAACTGAATAAAGTGACAAATCTAAGCAAAAGTCGGATCAACGAGTTTAAGACGTTAGCCAATAGTGTGCAGACAATAGTGGGTCAGTTCGGCCACTGCTCACGCGTTCACAACTTCTGGGATTTGGTCGCCAATCAGATGAGAGCCAACGGCTACGACGACAGCGCACAAAACGCTCGCAATATATTCACTGAATTTGTCTGCGATTATTACGCTCTGGTATTCATTGGTTTTTTTTATTTGGTATTAGATTTTAATCTTTATTTGAATTTTATCGACAGGTTTTAATCCGATGTCCCGATTATATGAACGCAACAGAAGTATATCCACTCTTTGCGTTCATTCACGCCATGGATTTAAGCCAATGTTTGAGTCAGTTTTCCTTCGAGAAGATTAAGGATTTGAGGGATAAGTTTGCGGCAAAAATGTAGTCATTTTCTAGGCTTTTACAACTCATCACAATTGTAACACTCGTCTAACCTTTTTATTATTATTGAGATTTTTTATTATTAATAATTGTTTCGCAAAAGTATTGTTAATATCTATTTCATAATAGCGTTTAGTATTAAGTCTAATGACTTTGATTTGTTGCCAACTATTTTGAATGATAGTTAAAATAAGTGCTAATTTATAGGTTTTGATTCAAACAAAACATTGACTCCAATAATAAATAGGAATATCACTGAAAATCTATTTTTGTAATACAATATATAATTGCCATTTGTTTTGACTCTTTTTAATTATAAAGAAAGAAATTAATTACAATTTTATGTGAAAAACATTGCATTTTTGAAATAAAAATATAATTATTGTTTTGAATGAATGAGTATTTATTTATTTGGAAAACTTCATTGAAAAGCGTTTCCAATTGATTGCCAATTAATTTCACACTTTTATTGATTGGAAAATACTTTTAGTAATTCAAACGTCTTTCCTTTCATTAATACTTTGGTCTCAATTATAGTAATTTATAATATATTTATAAAACAATTTTCAACTTTAAAAATGCATTTAACTGTTTGCGCCGAGAACGTAAGTAAATATCTATTCATTTAATAACAATTTAACAACAATTACTTGTGATGCCATGAAAGTGGGCGCCACTCACTGTACTGCAAAACCAGAGTTCGGATCAGATTTTGGGTGACTTTAAGATAACCGGATTAACGGGAATCCTATGGAATGGATTCACTAAACGATACTTCGATTATGCCGAAGATTATAAACGCCAACACAAATGCCTGTTCAATGATGATCGGCGAGAGGGGATCCGATTGGGTCCGATTCGGCCGATGATAGCACTTCGCATCACTAATCAAACATTTATTCACTTTATTATTATTTATAATGTAATGTAATTTGAATGAAGTTTTGGTTCAATTGAATAAACAGTGTTTTGCTATCAATTCAAACACTAATATAATTATAGATATTATGGTTAAAAAAGCGACGACTTGTATGAGAGAAACAATTGCCGAGAATCTCAACTCAAAGAATGGATATTTCTTCGTATGAGATGTGGACTGAAAGAAGCATTTCCTAAACCATCGACAACTTCTTTGTCAACTTAAATCGTAATTCAGTTTATTTAGATATTTCTCTATAAAACCCGACGATTGACTCAAACGAATCCTTCAAAATATTTCAATCAAAACTTTTTAAATCTCAATTCAAAGATATGTTTGTTTGTATTACCAGTTATTTAATTGTGAAATTGTGCGAAGAAAGTGCGGATCAGTGATGGTCTTGGATGTGGCCATGAAATAATGTTTCTGTGTTTGCCAGACATGTTTTGCCACATGTATTAAGACATTGGGATTGTGTTGACAGAGAAGTGCTTTGGAGACATAAATGCTGGCCTCTGTGTCCAGGAATGCGATCCGACGTCTCATAAACTGCTGGCGATTCCATGTCTTGTAAAATGGATTTTCAATAATAAGTGATGTATTTTTATTACTATTTATCACTTTTGCCAATGAATTCAATACTTTATTCTCTGAGCTCTGGAGGAATGAATACGGAATCACAGGTATTGTATAAGAAGTGTTATTAAAATGTTTTTAAATAATAACCTCTAACTGTGAGACAAAGGCTGAGTGACCCCACGCTATTGGGATTATATTTGGGTTTTGGAGCAGATCTTCGTAGTTCTCAATCTGATTGTGGGATCTATTGGTCAGCAGTTCTGCACTAATCAGTGAATTGATGTAAACCCAGAAGAATGCAATACAAATCAAGATAACCATATGTATTGCTGTCCATTTGTTTAATGGGAACCGAATAATTGCTAGTTTTTATTAAAAATAATAATAAGTGAACTCTGTTTTGATATCAAGTTATTTAAACTCACACTTCATTAGCAATAGTTTTAAAATAATTAAATCAAAACTTTTCTCGTAATTAAAAGTCGGAGAAAACTTTGACGAAAAAGCGAAAGAAAGTGCAATAAAAAACCAACAAATCATAAATAAAACCCAATAATAAAAGTCAATTGAATATAAATGATGTAATATATCAGTCATTTCTGTGGGAATATCATTATATGCGGTGATAATGGAGTAGCCGTCGGTGTATACTCTGGCCGTATAGTTGATCACTTCGTACCGATCGGACAGCATCTCAAAGGGTCCGATACTTAATTGACATCTCTTTGAAAGTAATGTTAGTATAAAAATGATAATTAATGACTTATTCATACGTTTTCAATGATATCTCTTATCATTCCTGTCCACGAATTGTTGACTTTTATTCCCCAAAAGCCATCCAATGGTTTGATAACTGAATAGCTGTCAAACAATTACAATGAGTTAATGATAATGCATACAGAATATGGTGTTATAAAACCTTAAATTGTATCGTTTAGTGAATCCATTCCATAGGATTCCCGTTAATCCGGTTATCTTAAAGTCACCCAAAATCTGATCCGAACTCTGGTTTTGCAGTACAGTGAGTGGCGCCCACTTTCATGGCATCACAAGTTAATTGTTGTTAAATTGTTATTAAACAATAGATATTTACTTACGTTCTCAGCGCAAACAGTTAAATGCATTTTGAAAGTTGAAAATTGTTTTATAAATATATTATAAATTACAATAATTGAGACCAAAGTATTAATGAAAGGAAAGATGTTTGAATTACTAAAAGTATTTTTCAATCAATAAAAGTGTGAAATTAATTGGCAATCAATTGGAAACGCTTTTCCATGAAGTTTGCGGACAAATAAATACTCATTCATTCAAAACAATAATTATATTTTTATTTCAAAAATGCAATGTTTTTCACATAAAATTGTAATTATTTTCTTTCGTTATAATTATAAAAGAGTCAAAACAAATGGCAGATAATTATATATTGTATTATAAAAATAGATTTTCAGTGATATTTCTATTTATTATTGGAGTCAATGTTTTGTTTGAATCAAAACCTATAAATTGGTAATTATTTTAACTATCATTCAAAATAGTTGGCAACAAATTAAAGTCATTAGACTTAATACTAAACGCTATTATGAAATAGATATTAACAATACTTTTGCGAAACAATTATTAATAATAATAATAAAAAAATCTCAATAATGATAAAAAGGTTAGACGAGTGTTACAATTGTGATGAGTTGTAAAAGTCTAGAAAATGACTACATTTTTGCCGCAAACTTATCCCTCAAATCCTTAATCTTCTCGAAGGAAAACTGACTCAAACATTGACTTAAATCCATGGCGTGAATGAACGCAAAGAGTGGATACACTTCTGTTGCGTTCGTATAATCGGGACATCGGATTAAAACCTGTCAATAAAATTCAAATAAAGATTAAAATCTAATACCAAATAAAAAAAACCAATGAATACCAGAGCGTAATAATCGCAGACAAATTCAGTGAATATATTGCGAGCGTTGTGTGCGCTGTCGTCGTAGCCGTTGGCTCTCATCTGATTGGCGACCAAATCCCAGAAGTTGTGAACGCGTGAGCAATGGCCGAACTGACCCACTATTGTCTGCACACAATTGGCTAACGCCTTAAACTCGTTGATCCGACTTTTGCTAAGATTTGTCACTTTATTGAGTTTTACGGTTTCGACGATATCTTTGTTGGTCTGGTATTTAGTTTTGGTTTTGGGAATCGTTTGGTTTGAGGCCAGCGATCCGTTTGAGCCGTATTTACTGCAAGTCTTGTAATCATTACTATTGGACAGAAGAGTAGAGATGTAAGTAGAGATGTAATGGTGAAATGTTGGGAACGTTTAGGGCTAAATTTAGCCCTAAATTTAGGGAACGTTTAGGGGTCTCGCTGAACATTTAGGCTAAATTTTCAACCACTATATTTAAGCGACATCAATATTGTACTTATTTACTAAATAAATCACTAATTTGTGTAATTTAAACTAAATTAACAACTATTATCAAAATATAATTTATTTATATACTTAACATAATACTTTATTTGGTGTAAATTCATTGTTACTTTATAGTATAGCATTTTAGAATTAATACTCATACTCATAAATATTCACAGAATAAACAACAGAATTTGCAAGAATCCTTAATAAATTTAAAATATTTAAAAAACCAAAACATTTTTCGTTATTATTTTAAAGGGTCATAAACCAAATAATCAAATGGTTTAAATTAGTTTGATGCACATATATTTCACCACATTAAAAGTATATAGTTGAAAAAATATGAAGTTTTCACATTTTTTATGAAACTTTAGCCCAAAATTTAGCCTAAATGAAATGTTTATATGAAAATTTCAATGAAATTTTCATCCTTACAGAAGAGACATATTTGAGCCAAACTTTTTGGCGCCGATCAGACCGTACTCTTTGGACTTGTGGTGAGCTTTCGTTTTAAACGCTTGTCTCAGATCTCGGATTTGATTGAATTCACACAAATTCACCAAATATTTCATATCAAACCAATGCAGTGCCGAAAACATTGGATTCACTTTAGTTGCGGTCTCAGAATCGGGACATTTGTTTAGTGTCTAAAAGTTTAAAACAATTGAAATTATAATCAAAGGATCAAAGAATGTAAAGAATGCAAAGAATTGATACCTTTTTGTATAATTCGATGACATTATGGAAGCCGTTTCGGCACTGCTCTGGAGACCAGTTCTCAAATCCATTGTTTATCATTTGCTGCGATATTGTCCTCCATTTGGGGTTGTTTTCAGAGTCGTTGGAAGAGTTTCTTTCAAAACAGCGTCTGTTTATCTCCAATAACTCCAACAGTAAGTCTATGGCCTTAAAGTCGTTGTGATGGTAGCGAATGGCAATCACTGGACGTCTTCTGAATTGAG